TACTCTTTTCATTATGAAGAACAATGACAAAAAAGAAAATTTTGAAAAAATGTTCTAGAAAGTTTTCATTCTAGCCCAATTAATATAAGCTGTCTATTTTATTGAGATGGTTAGATATAGGCCTCAGAAGGATTTTTTTATTCCCTAAATTTTTATATAGCGTTATCATCATTAGATTAATAATGCTAAAAAATAAAAAAGTGATTTTGAATTTGTTAAGGCCTAGATAGTGAAATTCACCAAATGGATGGTCAAGATTCCTTGTTGGATGGGTACTTATTTTGATCATATCTATGGTGCAAATTGGAATTTTGTTTTCGTAGGATTGATTGTGAGGATGAAGAAAATGTGCGTGCAAAATTTGGGGCAATACAAATGCCAAAAATATGGTTTTCTAGAGGTGTGGTTGTATTATACTACTATACAACCGTTGCATTATATCATTTCCCATATATATATATAGAGAAAAGTTTATACAGAGCCGAGGCTCTAAACAATTAAATTAGAGCCCACCTCAAAAATTTTATTAAAAGAGATTGTTTTGATGCCCAAATATTATCAAATTGATCATCTCGACATCAAGATGCATGGACATGAGGAAAAACGGGATTTCAAGTTTTAAGAATAGTGTATCTTGTAACGCAATTTTGGACTGTCAAATTTCAAGATTTTCAAGTGTTTATATATCTGTTCGATCTACACTATTTTTGAAGCTTTAAATTTTATAATTAAAAATAAAAATATATTTTAAGGCTATCACAAAGATTTTCAATATTGAAACCACATTTCTTGATACTATTTTCTGGTGGGCTCTAATTTGATAATTTAGAGCCTCGGCTCTCTACAAAATGCACCCATATATATATATATATATATAAAGGTGCTTCCTAAGCGCTTCCATATAAATATGTACATATCATACTGCTGCCAGGTTGCATATTTAACAATGCTCCCATTGTAGCCATGGGTTGATCCCAGTCTGCAGCTTCCGCTTCCAACAACTTTTTTCTAGCATAGATGATGATATTCATCTTTAACTGCTCAACATTAGGTCATTTGACTGATATTGATGTTCCCAGGTTTTTCCTAAACGAACACCTCCAGAAGCAGTTGATTTGGTATCAAGGCTGCTGCAATATTCTCCCAATCTGCGCTGCACAGCTGTAAGCATGCTCTTCATTTCAATTTTACTTTATTGGACTTTCTTTTTAGGGCAGTTATTATGTTTTTCACTGAAATTGTGTGAGTGATCAAGTTTTTTCTTGTTTCGATGGCTTTTTAGCTTTAAGGGGCAATTTATATTTTATTTCTTTTATTTTTCTTGTGGTTTCTTCTTAGAGCGCTTTCGGGTATGTGTGAATTCAGTATCTTCAATTTTGTATGAGCTAGTTTTATGATAGTGAACTTAATTTTGTCAATACAGCTGCCACATACATGGGCAAAATTGCATCAGAAGAGTGATTTCTTTCCCATATAAACATAGCCTACCTATCACTCTCGAGAGTGATTTCTTTTCCTTTGAAACATAGCCTATCGAAGCACTTTTCTCAGCCTCCCCTCCTTTTTGAGTCCACAAGACCACAATCCCCCAGAGACTGGAGCCTTTAGTGTGATAGACATATGAAACACCGGAGAAATCTACTTCCCTATTCATAGTGGCATTTGAGGATATAATTAGTGTTGTAGGGAAATTGAAGAAAACAGTAAAATCAGCAAGGAACAAGCACAATTCAAAGAAACCTAGGGATTTTTTTCCACACCTGAGCTAAGGCGCCAAAAGTATGAATCTTTTCCATCCTCCTTTTGAAATTCACATGGAATGATCCCTATAGGCCTCACGCACCTCTTAAATAATAATATTCAATATTCAAGGACAATAAATGTCCATACAATAAGTGAAATGACCCAAAAGTTCTATGTTAACCACAAAATTTGCAATGACAATTGTACCCCTGTGAACAGTAAAAAAATATATAAAAATCCCTAAAAAATTTAAAAACCTGTAAAGAATAAATATTATAATTAAAATTGAAGTATACATCCTTTGAAATTGAATAAAATTAAAAATAAGAATAATTTTATCCTGCATCATTCTTCCTTCGTTGAAAAAAACTCGTCATTGAGTGTTTTAGTAGGCTAAGATAAATTTTGCATTAGTTTCATAATTTTCTTCAACCTAAATGTTATGTTTTGATTCCTTGGACTGGTAGTTTATTGGTCCAATCAAAATACAATAATTATGCATTGAGTTGGGGTTTTGAAATCAATTATATATTCATGAACAATTTTGAGAAACCCACGAGGAAAGGGCTTTTGAGCTCTAAGCCCAATGCGACAAGCATTATTACAAAAGTGGCATACTTGGCATGTTCGATTTGCAAAGCATGGAAACTTAATTTTGTTTCTTTTTGTTTTGGCAGCTAGAGGCCTGTGCACATCCCTTCTTTGATGAGTTGCGGGACCCCAATACACACTTGCCCAATGGACGCCTGCTTCCCCCCTTATTTGACTTCAAGCCCCAAGGTATTTAAAATTCTCGACCTTCTCAGATTTATTTCTTTATGTTGGGCTAATACCCTTCCTTTTCTTCTGTCACACAATAGAGAAATAATGTTTTTTTTTTCTTTTTTCTTTTCTTCACGGCTCACAGAGGTATATAGAAGAAGCTTTGGGCAATTGACACTACCTCCCTTATGCAGATTAGAATAGGATTGGACGGGCTATGAACTAAGGGAAAATGGAAAATACTTTCATAAAAGGAAAAGTATTTTGTAAAGCCGGGGCTTTTATATGGCCACACCTCAAATCTTGCTATTAAATGCAGTTCTAGCACCAGAAAACCTGCAAATTATTCGTGGATTTGAAAAAAAAAAAGAAGAAAAGTTTTAAATCCCTAAAAATGGTCCTTCATGTTGGGACACTTTTCTAGATGGTCTGTTTCAAGTTTTCACTGATCTGAACTATTTTTGGAACTTCAAATTTCACAATCAGTGACAAATAGATTTGCAAACCACATCCAGGTGTTTTGCTCTGGGGTTCTTTGGTGCGGCCTCACCAAAGTTTGTAAAGCTGTGGCCTTCCAAAACCTGTCTTCCTTTATAAATTAGTTAGAAATCATAATCATCAAAAGGAATTGGTCAAAAATCGCCATATTCAAAATGTGGTAATGGAAAAACGTCATTTTTTTACAGAGTTGGTCGGTGCTTGTCCTGAGCTGCTCCAGCGTCTTACTCCAGAACATGCTTGGAAATAAATTTACTTCTACCAGCAGGGTAAAGTTCTTGTGATACTATTCCAAAGAACATGGATGTCTTCATACTTTGGAAGCAGGACCCCTGCTAATGTTGGTTTATATCACATCACATGGTGAGCATCCCAATTTTACTTCAGCTCCTATGCTTAGGGACAAAGGGGTGTGGATCTATTGACCAAAGTCGAGCACTGTTTTTCCACGTCCGAATGAGGTGTGTGCCCCAAGTTCAAGCCTTTCAAATGAGTGCGGTGTATTTATGCCATTCTCTCTTTCCTTTTCTTTTCCTTTTCATTTTTCAAATGTTATCGGTGGATTTATGCTCGTAGATTGTGATGTATTAGAATGTGTTTTTATGTAATGTGGTTAGAATGTATTCTGCAATGTACGCTGAGAATGGCTCGGGCCTCACCCTTTTGCTTATGTATTTGTATTAATTTGAGATGGACGAATGAATCTCCCTCACCCTGTCTCAGCTGTTTGAATGTGTTGATTGTTTCTAAAATGCGGTTTCTCCTTTTCCCCGACTCAGCTGCTTGAATGTGTTGATTGTTTCGAAAATGTGGTTTCCCTATATTGTCAAAGCCTATAAGACTTATGGTGTGGTTTAAGATTTGAGTTGGGGGAATTTTTTTCTCCTTTTTCATAGGGGTACTAGGTGATTTGAGAGAGAGAGAGAGAGAGTTGTTTCTCTTTTTTCAATAGTGTACCAGGTTATTTTTGATAGATAGATACATAGAGAGAGAGAGAGAGAGTTGTTTTCTCCTTCTTCGTAGGTTTACCAGGTATTTTTGAGAGCGAGATTTCCTGTATATGTTTTCAGAGAGAGAGAGATTTCCTGTATATGTTTTCTGAGATAGTGTAATAAAATGGCAGAATAGTCTTTGAATAAAACCAGAGTTAGTATCAAGGACTTCACCAATAAACCCAACATATAATGAAATAAACTAACTGAGCCAATTTAATGAAATAAATTACAACCAATGTCAACTCGAAAAATTTAAGACATGATTCAAACGTGATGATTTACCAGTAGTCTCTGCAAGAGCAAAACCCTCCATGAAAGTGATGGAAGCAATTGGAATCTCTCACAATGATCTTCCTTGCATAAACTCTAGAGGCAAACTTAATCGCAGAGTGACAATCTCCACAAACACGAAGGTTCTTCACAATCCTTATTGGTTTCTCAGCTGGCAAACTTAGAAGGCCAAAAGCGAGTGCCAACTTTTCACTGTGAGAAGCAAGCCCAAGCTCCTTCCCCTCTTCATCAACATCATGGAGAGCGAAAGTCATATCAGGAACATACCCTTCTTTCTTGATGAGACCCAAAATCTCCTCGACTTTGGCATATATCTCTGCTATCTTAGGGTGGCCTCTATCTTCGACCAAGAAAGCATGAACCATATTATCCACCTCAATCCAGCTACAACCTGGCTCTTTAGTAACCCCTCTCTCTTTCATTAGTCTCCTAATCTTTGCAGAATCATCCCACTTTCCAGCTGATGAGTAGATATTCGAGAGCATAACGTAGGGGACTGCATTATCGGGCTCTAATTTGAATAGGCTTTTCGCTGCCTTCTCAGCAAGCCTGACATTCCCATGAACTCGGCAGGCTGAAAGCAAAGCTTTCCAAACTGTTGCATCTGGTTCCACACTCATCTCATTGAGCAAACTCTCGGCTTCCTGGATTTTTCCAGCTCTTCCGAGCATATCTATCATGCACGCATAGTGCTCGGCCCTTGGTTTTATGTTATGGGCTTTATGCATTGATTTGAAATGTTGGCGCCCAGCTTCCAAAAGACCAGCATGGCTACATGCGAAGAATACACCTATGAAAGTGATATAGTCAGGTTTGTCACCATTGAGGATCATCTGCTCATAAAGACTAAGTGCGTCCTTTCCTCTCCCATTTTGAGCATAACCCACGATTAGGGCAGTCCAAGAAACCACATCCCTTATTAACATCAAATCGAAAACCAGGTGAGCATCCTCTATGCAACCACACTTTGCATACATGGTCACAAGTGAATTATCAATGGACAAGGAGGACCCAAAACCTAATCTGACAAAAATGGCATGAAATTGTTGACCCAATTCGAGAACTGATAAGCCAGCACAAGCACTCAGGGCACTCGCAATGACAAATTCGTCTGGCTTGACCCTTGCGATTCTCATCTCGCAAAAGAGCTTGAGAGCTTCTTCATGGAGGCCATGGTGGGTGTATCCTGTTAGTAATGATGTCCACGAGACGACATCGGGTCCAGGGAGGCCCTCTAAGGCTCGAGATGCGCACTCTAAGCTCCCACATTTTGCATACATATCCACAAGAGCATTGCCCACATGCTTACAAGTACCAAAACCAGTTTTCACAATCATGGCATGAGCACAGTTCCCCTGTTTTAGATCAATGAGAGAAGCACATGCATTGAGAACGGAAGGGAAGGTGAAATCATCTATTCTTAAGCTTCTAATGTGCATTTCCTTGAAAAGTAATAGAGCTTCTTCTTCTCGCTGGTGCTTAACATACCCACCTAAAAGGCTATTCCATGACACTTCATCTGCAACTGCCATGCCATCAAGCACTCTTTGAGCACTAGCCAAATCATCACATTTCGAATACATATCGATCAGAGCGCTTTGAACGAAAACATTAATGGAAAAACCAGTTTGAAGTACGGAAGCATGAACCTGGAGTCCAAGTTCCTTAGAGCGCAGGGCAGCGCAAGCACTAAGGATACTTGGGAATGTGAATTGGTTAGACTTGACCCCAGCCATTTGCATCTCACAAAAGATCTCTGCAGCCTTTTGGCACTCTGCATTCTGAGTGTGCCCTGTGAGCATGGCAGTCCATAGGACCATGTTGCGCTCTGGATTATTGTCAAAAAGATAGCGAGCGCATCCTATTTTCTTGCATTTCGCGTACATGTCAACGAGACCCGTTACCACAAAAACATTCATATCTAAACTGGTTTTGATTGTATAAGCATGGACCTGTTCAAAAAGAAAAACTGTTAATTTTTTGTAGCATAGGGGGAGGGGATGCACCTATTGTAGGAGATGGGACTAATGATCGAAAAGTTGACAGGTATATCATCTTGACCAACACCATCATGAATTTGAAAGAAAAAAAAAGAAAAAGGTGCAATGAGACTTAAAAAAAAGGTCTATCTTGAACCTCTTTTTTGGACAAATCAGTTCAATTCTTAAAACATCATCTTGGAAAATTCATATCAATTCTTAAAACATCATCAATCACACTGTTATTGGAGCTCAAAATTCATGGATTGGAGGCGGAAATAGATTTGCAGCAATTTTGTGATGTGTTTTGGATCTTAAGTCCCTCGTAAACCGGGGCGGATGCATAAGTTGGAAGGCTCACCAAAAAAAGTTCCTTTTACTAATGCTAGCTATTAAACTCTACTGGTCCTTCTAATTGAATCTTTTTAGTTTAAGTGTAGTGGGAGATGGACTCCTATCTTAATCTCCCCCATGAGAAAGAGAGAGGGGGGGACCTGTTCGCCACGTGTGACCACAGAACCAGCAGCACAGGCTCTCAGAACACCGCCGAAAGTGTATTGATCAGGCCTCAGCCCATCCAATTGCATCCTATAGAACATCTCCATAGCTTCATGCCCAAGCCCATAGCGAGCATAACCAGAAATAATTGAAGACCATGTCGCTGAAACCCTCTTTGGGATTGCTTCAAACAACCTCTGAGCTTCATCTAACCTACCCAACTTCGCGTAGCCAGAGATCATGGTATTCCAAGAGAACTCATCCCTATGGTCCATTCCATCAAACATTTTACGAGCTTCTTCAATTTCACCAGATTTGGCGAGCTCATCCAAAATAAGGTTGGTTCCAAAACAAGAGGTGGGGTGAGCTCCTCGGGTCAATGAGCCATAGAGTTGTGAAGTGTTTTCTTGGAGCAAAGTATGAACACATCGTTGCCTTATATACTGGTAAGCCTGCTTCATGTCGAAGCTCTGGTTTTCTTATGATAGATGGGCTATCAGAAATATGCGGGAAATTTGAATTTGAATAAAAAATATAGCCGTAGAGATCGACTCCCTCTCTTTTCCAATTCTCTTTTTCCAAATTTAAGCCCCTGCGAATGTGCCAAGTCCATGTGTATCCAAGTGAGACCACAGAGAACAAAGAGCAGCACCCAGAAGAATAATAGGAAGAAGAAGAAGCAATAATGGGAAGAAGAAGAAGCAATTGAGAGAGAACACAGTCCTGAATCACCCAAGTAAGAGAGAAAACACATTGCCCAGTAACAGAGAGAAAATACAGTCGGTATGAAGAGAGAGTTGCTATTCCAAAACCCAAATAAAAAACCAAGAATCCATGGGAGAACATAGATTATATGAAAATCAAAATTCACTCAAAACTCAAAACTCAAAACTATTAAAATCACCCCCAAACCTAACACAACTGAAAACACAAAGAGGATATTTTTTATTACCTAAAATCACGCCACATTTAATAGTGATCCTCTAAGGTCCTGATCCTCTAAGGTCCTACATATAGAAATAGTGAACTTCTAATGTCCTACATGTAGAAATATGGGTGTTGAAGGTTATCGTACGATCAGTACTCTTTTTTTAAATATATTTTTTTATTATTTTTTAATTCCAATTTATTTAAGAGAAAAGTTTATGTAGAGCCGAGGCTCTAAACGATCAAAATTGAACCTACCTCAAAAATTTCACTAGAAGAGATTGTTTTGATGCTCAAATATTCTCAAATTGATCATCTCCACATCAAGATGCATGGACATAAGAAAAAAATTGATTTCAAATTTTCGAAATAGTGTATTCTTAAATGCATTTTTTGACCATCAATTTTCAAAATTTTCAAGTTTTTATAGATCTGTCGATCTACCCTATTTTGAAGCTTTAAACTTTATAAATAAAGATGAAAAATATATTTTTAGACTATAACAAATATTTCCAGTATTGAAACGACGTTTCTCACTACTATTTGAAGGCAGGCTCTAATTTGATTGTTTAGAGCCTAGGCTCTATACAAACCGCACACTTTATTTAATCATGCTTTAGATGTACTTTTTCATATTTTTTTAGATTCCTTTTGTATTCTTTTTTATTTTTGAACACTTTTTGGACTTGAGACCTGCCCAGTTAGGCTGATTGAACCAGTTGGTTTATTGTTACTCGGACCCGGACCTTGGCCGGTTCGATTTTTCAAACAGTGGGTCTAGACTGCACAATTTGATTTTCTGGTTATTTATTGGTTTTCTCAAGGGGGGTCGAAGGAATAAAGACATTTGCTGAGGGTAAATACTGATGAGAAAAATGGAGTCAAGGTAAACACTCTGGCAAATGGGGCCATCAAGCAGGTCATCAATTTTTAAAATTTTCAAGTTTTTACAGATTTTGATTTATATTAATTTCTAATCCTTTAAATTTTATAATTTAAGTTGAAAATAAAATTTAAGATTATCATGAAAAATTCTATTATTGAAACATCATATTCCAACACGTGCACCTTACTTCGACTGTTTAGGGCCTCAGCCTTATATAAACCACACCCTTTATTTAATGGCTGCTTTACCAGTTATTAGTCTTTATAAAGGATGAAATTTTGATTAGGCTACAACTTTATATGGTTGCACCATAAAATAGTGCAATGACATGCAAAGCCTTTCGATTTGCATGTTCAATTTTTAGTTCCAAAAATTTGGATCTAGTTGATCTATAAATACTTGAAATGAGTGGATCATTTTTAAGATTTGAAAAAAAAATTTAGATTTATACTTGTGGAGGTTTATATAACATAGTCTCCAAACCCATAGCCAATTTTTTTGGAGATTAGGTCTATAGTTGTATATAAATACAATCACAAGTACTTCTAATTTAAGGGATTGTCTATAAATAGACCATTTAACTTTTGTACATGGAGGTCACAATTATTTTTGTCCCTTAAATATCAAAATGGGTTGTTGTAAGAGTGTCATTTATTAGATACAAAGTTCCAAACAAAAATTTTCAGACTTCGTGACTCACCCCAAACCATCCAATTTGATATCTAATGAGTGAGGATAAATTGTGGTTAATTGCGGTGTGGGTGGTTAATTGTGGTCCAACTGGACCTCTTTTGATTGGTTGAAAATTTAGTTATTAGGACCGGGTTGATGGTCCAGCTGGTCGAATTACGGACTAATGTCTTGGCTGATCTGAACCACAATAGAACCCAAGTTTAATCAAACGCCGGTCAAAATTAGTGTTTGACCAGTTTTAGTAGTTCGCCCTACGGGTTTCAACCAATTTGACCGTCCAAACAAACTGGGGAACTTTTGTCAAATATATAATATATTGTTAAACTATTGTTTATATTTTATTAATATTTTTAAAATTTAGTCAAACTGGGGTGATCAACGGTCGGACCTGTTTTGACTGAACCAAAGTCATTATTGAATTAGTGATCAGACTAGTGGTTTAAAAAACGGATTGGTGCCACGGATCGGGCACCCCAAAAACCCATACGGATCAGGGAATCGACGATTCGGATCGGGAATCGGCCGAATCTGTTGAATTAAACCTTAAAAATCCAAAAAAAGTATTAAAATTCGTTAAATTTTTTTTTTTTTCGAAATCCAATAAGAAATGGGGATACTCCATTAAGAACTTTCATTTTTTTGCATCAATATGCTAAAATTGAGATGCTTTTTCCCTATATGAACTACTGTTAACCATTATTATTAATTATAATATTATAGTAAACATGATTAAAAAAGTATCAAAAAATGTTTCCATATCATATGCTTAAAAATAAAAAATAAAACCCCCAATAAATTCTAATATTATGATATTAAAAAATTCAAAAAAACTTTATCCAAAAAAAATGAAAATAGAGATATCAAAATTCAAAAAAAAAAAAAAAACCCTAATCGACAACGTGCACAATAGTTACAATATATATATATATATATGGAAATAGTATATACCGAAAAAACTATTTTAATAATAAATAGCAAAAACTTTTCTATGAAAGTTTTTAAATTTGGCACTCTAATTAAGTCATTTAATTAGAGAAATATGTTGATGTGGCTTATTGAATACGACACGCTCATTTGGAAACATGATATGTTAATATTTATAAATTAATTGACACACTCATTAATATTATTAATGCTCATTAATTCATTTTTTAGAACATGATTAAAAAAAGTAAAAGCCTTTATAAATTTTAATATTATGACACTAAAAAAAAATTACCCAGAAAATTAGAAAATAAAGATATTAAAATTCAAAATATAAAAAAATGGCATCTTCATTTCCCTAAGTTGCCTCACTCCATTTATTGCTGTAAAAAAAAAATGAAAAAGTGGCATGCAGTAGAAAAACAAACTAGAGAGAGAAAACTATGTTGTAGAAATGTAGCTATAGAACATCGAAATAAGCAACATATTAAATTTTTCAATAGTTTTGAGATCCAGGAATTGTCTCACATCTAAAAATGGCAGTGCAAAATGACCATATAAAACCCATGATTTTCGTTGCATGAGTGGTACGTTATTGAAAGCCTGGGGAGGCTGTTGCTGCTCTCACAGTTAGTAGAGGTAGGCATGACTCTCATTAGGGTGAGTGCAACTGAAGTTGTTAGTTAACGTTCATGTTGGTACATAAAATCATGTCCACTCCCCTGATTCACTGTAGCATATCGCTGAGAACTGGATTCACTGTAGCATATCGTTGAGAATCAGATTGTTGAGAACTGCCCGATTCACTGTAACGTATCGCTGAGAACTGGGGATTTTTCTCTTGACACGTCTGATTTCTGATATTGTGTAGGAATCAGCACGGAGTGGCTGATTCCCGTGTCGACTCGGGCAATTCCGGATTGACTCGCCGTCTTTTAAACCCCTGGATCAGACAATGATTTATAATGTGAATAACTTCTTAAGGAGCATATTGTGTTTTTCTTTATACACATACAATTTGTACATGTTTCGTAGATCTCAACCGATCGACTTTGATTGAATGATCATCGGTGAGATCATAAAAAATGTACCAAACAATGATTTGACATTTTTTTCAAGCCATAATTAATGTGTAACATTAATTTCACCACACTCTTAGACATGTAAATCATGTATAGAGACTTAAAAAAAGCTATATGAAGATAATAGAAAGGAAAAAAAAAAAACTACCTTCATTGGTTTATTAAAAAAAAATACTAGTGCCTCTTAAAAAATAAAAAATTGAGTTTAAGTTCTTAAGCCTAGATCTCAATATCCAGGATGGTTTAGATTAATTATTGGAGAGGGAATCATTATGACCTTTTTTTTTAAGGTGTAAATTCAATTTTTTGAGAATTGATTATTGGCAAGAAAGAATGTTTGTGCAAATTTGGGATCATACAAGAGTCATAAATATGATTTTCTAAAAAAAACAATTTCATTATGTTATAAGGAAACACCGACATAAAATCCTCTTGACCAGGGCCTCCATCCAATCTTGGTTGGGGGAGCTTTCTCTCTCCTAGCCACTGTTTTAAAATTGGATGAGGTTTCTATAAGTTCTAGGCTTTATGAAAACAAAATAAAGCTTCAGCTCAATTCGTCATCAGGAAGATACTTTCGGTGACATAAACCTTTATGACGACTCTAAAATCAATTTCCAATATTGACAATAGAATTTGAAATTCGAAAAATGGTACAGCCTACAGATTTGCAAACACTTATTTTTAAAACAAAGTGGACGGTCTAGATAATTTGTTACAATATACACTATTTTTAGAGCTTGAAATCGTAAATTTTTTTTTCACAACTGTAAATGTTAAAGTCGTGATATTCAATGCTTGATTTGCAATTTTTAATGAGTTATGAGGTGAGGATGTACTTATTTTGATAGGCTACGGCCCTATCAAACCAGTTTCCTGTATAATTTTAAATACAAGTTTATTTTGACAAGCCTCTTCTTCATAAGTTATGTTAGTCGTTTTCAAATAATATTGAGAACTCTTGTGTGAGAGGGTCGGTCTACTCACTTGTAGTCAAGTTTGAAGATTTGAATTCTAATTTGCTCTTTATTACTTTCTATTGTCATATAGAGGTCCACAACTATTTAATATTGATGAAATACATGAAGATGAGCCAATAATAATAGTATAAGTTTGTGTCAATTATGTCTATCACATCACAATTAGCATGATGTTGTTGTCGATTTCTCCCAAACATTCTATTTATAAATCAGTAACTTATATCAAGATCGGAGTGGCCTTGACTGGTCCAAACCAAAACAAAAACTAGATTTGGTTAAAAATCGATCAAAACTAATGTTTGACCGGCTTTGACCGATTTGACTAGTTGGTTCTAACTTATCATATGGGTTAAACAAAGTTGGGCATCTTTTTTATAGTATATTTTACATTTGGAAAATGTTTACTTAGGGTGATGCCCTAAACAATTCAAACTAAGGCGCACTTCAAAAATTCACTAGAAGAGGTCGTTTCGATACTAAAAAACCCTCAAGTTCGATCATCTTCACCTCAAGATGTATCCATAC